AAGGTAGTATTTACATGTTTCTTCTCTTGTACTTTCTACTAAGTACATGAGAAAATCAAATCCATATGTCTTTGATTTTTTAATTCCTTTACTTTTCAAAGCTCAATAGTTTCCTCACCATTTTTTGAAAGCTTATCACTTTTTACTACTAGTTCTTTGGGTCTTGGAATTGAATTGAACCTTATTTTATCAAAGATAACGTCTTTTGATTTTATGATTGTATTAATGGAATATGAGTCATTGGGCTCTATCACCATGAAATGATATGCTTTATTATGTTCAGCATATCCTATAAATATACATTCAATTCCTCTTTCACCCAATTTCCTTTTCTTTAGTTCCGAAACTTTTACTATGACTCAACATCCCTAAACTCCTAAATAATTAAAGTTTAACTTTCTTCTTTTTTATAGCTCATAAAAAGTAGTTTTACTCCTTTTGTTTGAGATTCTATTTAGTATATAGCAAGCTATTAATAAGGCTTCAACCCAAAATCTTTTTGCCAAACCTGAATTAGAAAGCAAAGCATTGACCATTTCTCTAATAACTCAATTCTTACGTTCCACTATAGCATTTTGTTCTAGTGTGTATGGAGCAGTAATCCCATGAATAATACCAATGGATTCAAAATACTTTGGATCATAATATTCATCTCCTCTATCACTTCGTAAACATTTGATAACCAATTCACAATACAATTCAATTTCATTTTTATAAATTCTAAATTTCTCCATTGCTTCATCTTAAGTATGCAATAAGTAAACATAGCAATCTCTAAAAAAGTCATCTATAAATGTTACGAAGTATTTCTTTCCACCAATAGATGGAGTACTATACATGTCACAAACATCAACATGTATTAATGCAAGTAATTTAGAGTTTCTTTTTACCTTAGGAAATGAGTTCCTTGTTATTTTAATAACCATGCATGTCTTGCACATATCATTATTTACATCGGTGTTGGGTATTAACTCTAATTTAGCCGTATCATTCATTCTTCTATAATGAACATGACATAATCTACTATGCCATATATTCGACAAAGTTGCTTTACTATCATGAACATTAAACGAGGCATCAATATACGTAAAACTAGTAATATTCTTATTAATATTAAATTTGAACATGTTTTCACAAAAATATCCACTTCCCGCATATTGTCAACCTTTCGTAAGGATGAACTTATCTGTTTTAAATACTAATTTGAAGCCATACTTATTCAACAACCACCTGACACAAGATTCTTTCTTACTTCTAATACATAATAGACATTGTTTAGTACAAGTATTTTTCCAAAAGTAAACATAAGTTTCACGGCACCTTTTCTTTTCACTTGTGTAGTGGAGGAATTTCCCATGCATAGCGCCGTTCCATCATTAATTGCTTCCAAAGTCTTGAAGAAACTCTTGTCGTTGCATACATGATTAGTTACACCAGTGTCAATCCACCATGCTCCATCATCTTGGAAAAGATTGACCTTAGAAACCATCCACAAATTTATTGTTGTTCACACCTTGTGTCTTGCTTTTCAAAAATTTACATTCCGCCTTAAAGTGTCCAAGTTTGTTATAATGGAAACATGGCCCCTTTTTATTCCTTTTGATCTTATGACTTTTGTCATTCATACCTATGAAATGTTTTCTTTGTTGTGTGAGATTAGCTTGTTTGATAGTTTGTGTTGTATCACTTGGACCTTCGAAGTCTCAAGATTCTTTTCATTAGAATCCTTTTCTTTTTCATCTTGCTTGACTTCTTATTTTCGATAATCATCTTCTATTCAAAGATGATTACTAAGGTTCTCAAGAGACATTTCTTCTTTTTTATGTTTTTGAGTTTTCTTAGTATCTCTCCATGAAAGGGGAAGTTTATCAATTATTGAAGATACCACAATAGCTTCGTTCATTCTAAGACCATATTGCTTAAACCTATTTAGAATGCATTCAAGCTCATGTAATTGCTCCATAACAGAACGATTATCAACTATTTTGTAATTATTGAAGCGATTAACCAAAAATTTTTTGCTACTTGCATCTTCAGCCATGTATCTTGCTTCCAATATGTCCCAAAGTGGTTTTGCACTAGCTTCATTTGGTATGCATCGAAAAATGCATCTGAAATTCCATTAAGAATGTGTCCATGCATATGTAGTTATCATTATCCCATTTTCGCCTCAAGCGAGTCTTATCCATGGATTCTTCACCACCTTCTTCATTTGGTCTTGGTGTATCTAGAACATAAGCAACATTAAGAGTTGTAAGGAAGAAGTGCATCTTTTTTTACCATCAAATAAAGTTTCCTCCTTCAAAGCGATCTAACTTGACAATGTTGGTAGCCATCTCTTTAAGCGAAGCCATTTTGAATACCACGAAAATAAGTCTTAAAATTGTTAGTGCAAATGTTAGACAGAATTAAGGAGCTAACAAAATTGACTTCAAGAAGAGCCTTTCAATAGACGCTATCTTTAAGACTTATATCACTGCCACCACTCAGTATGCAAAGGGGAATAATGTGAATAGCTTTAGGGATATAATGAAGCCAACGTCTAACTTCGTCTTGCATTTTACGAGAGTAGATCGCTAGATACACCCGAGGGTTTGTAAAGTTATTCGATCTCAGAGCCTACTTTCTGTAACAAGTAGATAATAAAAAATTTAGATGCTTTTGTAGTTGATGGGAACTTAAGTGTTTATGTTAATAAAAGACAACACTTTTCCTATTCTTGATTTTTTTGCTCTTATTTTGTCTTTGATTTGATGTATCAAAATAGTTAGCAACAAGCCCTTTATATAGGCTTACAAGTGTCTCTTCTTCAAGTACACAACTCTTTCATTAAGACACCATTTTGTCTAAAAGACATCTTCACATTTTGCTAGACACAATTTTTGAATAATTATATTGTTTCAATAATCATCTTATGAAAGGATAACTATTTATTTCATAAAATATAATCTTTGAGTTATAATTTGAAATAATAACTTTTCATATTTAAACTTTTAAGCTATGATGTTTTGTCAATTTGTCTCATAACTTTTGAATGTCATTTTACTAAGAAACATAGCCATTCACATGAAACCCTACCTACAATCTAATAGTCACACTATATCACTTTATGAAACATAACTTTTGAGCTAAAATAGCTTTTCATTAAGTAACATAACCTTTAATTTTAAAAATACACCAACATACCAGAAGTAAATCTACTTTGTTATAATAAAAGCTTTAAAAGGAAATACCGAGTCAAGGAAAATCCCAAACCAAATATATATCAACATGGTTGAGGTATTACAACCTGCTTTTCCATATATAGGATGATTAAAGAGTTTTACATTAACTGGAAATTTGAAGCACAATATATTTCTTTCCTACTGATCATAGCATTGCAAAGGCAGGGAAACAAGAAAAATGCAGAAGAAAAGAGAAGTGGATAATTTGAGTTTGAGCAAATAATTAACAGACTGTTAACCCCTGAAAATCCATTCTCCTTTTCTCAGTCGTCTGTGTTGCCTAAACGATGGGAATTAGCCTTTGGAATTCTCTTAAACAGGTAAACGTTACCATTGTTGAGCTGTGTAACATGTCCAGCAAAACAAAGCATCATCTCCTCGTATGAATCTCTCCATTTTCTCATAGGCTCAACTGGCAAAGCAATATTCTTTGGGATCATCACTTTGCTTTTCCACCCCCTTGGGCGATACTCTTCTAACATCGAAGTCGCCTCACTTTCTTTATCTTCTTGAGCAGTACTGATCACACGCTTCAGCCTCTGGTACTTTTTCCTCCTCCTGTACCTCTTGATGCTCAGACAAACTGGAAGTTTAACTGCTTCCATGTTTTGAACGAGAGAAATTAAGGAAGACAAGTCCATGAGAGCAAATGAATAATATAAGCAAATGGGAGCTGTAAAAAAAAAAAAAAAAGAGTTACATGATCAAAGAAAAGACAGGATATGAAGCAGATGAAAATGGGGTGATGGATCTAAGTTTGTCAACAAAAAGATGGCTTCAAGTCCAATATATCAAAAGTTAAAAACAAAGAGACAGGTAAGTGAACTTAAATGGAAGGAGTTGCAGAAGTTATTGTGGCCAACTGCTGATAAACTAAAAGTTATTGTCTAGGCGGTGACACGCGTTATTAAGTAGAGTGCTGCTATTAGACAGACAGATCTCTGATAGCGACATCTTATTATCTTGTGGAAGGCAACCTATACGTTGCTAGACTTGCAAAGCTAAACCAAGGATTGGGATGAAGGTGAAATCCCACTCCAATCAATAGCATTAAACATTTTACAACCAACATGGAAGCATGGGTAACATGGGAGCAAGTTCTAGGTGAGGTTTATTAAATATATGATAAAATTTTCATCCTTCAACATGTAGTGTAGAGTAATCTTTACATATTATTGAATTCTTTTTTTTAAGTTTAGCAATCAATCGATTTCAATATTTAAAATTAATTTTCATTTGATCAAATAAAACCTTGGGAAATCAAGAATTTTATCTAAGTTTTGCCCTGGATTATGAGCTGGAATATGCCTCTTCTTACAAGATTCAATTCGTACAAGAAAAATACAAAGGTTGCAGTGGTTGGCCTAAACAAAGAGGGAATCTTCTAATGGGCCTAAAATTCTTTACAAAAGGGAGAAAAAGAATGAGTATTGTAAGGATTACGGAATGATCAATGATATTTTTGGTACACATATTTAGCATGAAGTACAAGCAGCAAGATAATCCAGCTTACTCTTCCAAGGAAGTTGACAGATGATCTAAAAGATTAATTTATATTAGCTGTATTGTAATTAATTTTCCACATAATATTAATAAAAAGATTTCTCATTATCACAAGAAATAAAATGTCTATAATTATTATTTATTATTCTCACATCACTTTCAAATAGTTGAAAGGATTAGATAAACTAGTATTACACATCTAAAATATATGGATATTCTGTATATAAATCCAACTTAATGCTCTATGTTACATAATAATAGGCATATCTTTCTTATAAAAATGGCTAGACATATCTTTTGAGCTACAACTGGGAAGATATGCAACATAATTGAGTAGACAAATTTCAATTTCAAGTTTCAATTATGAACTTGAATACCCATTTTCAGCTTCAGCCATTGAACAAATGAAATTTCATAGTTGCCCTCCCAAAACCCATATCGAACTAACTAATATTCTGAATTTGGCTAGGTTCCTGTCTCGCCAAGAATTTCTGCTTGGTTAGTAGTAATTAATAAGCCAACTGGACAAGCAAATCTTCAATTGCAACCTCAATTAGAATTCAACATTCAGTTTCAGAAATTAGAGTAGCCTGCTGAAGTATTTACAAGTCAACTGAACCAGTATTAGCCCTTCAAATTGAACATCTTTCAGAACAAAAAGAAACTTTCAACTCAATGTCTTTTTCCAGGGCTCATTGCTTCAATATCGGGGCTTGAATCTACTGATCCACTTCCTGATACCATGGGTAGTATTTCAATATATGTTTGATGCTTACGGCTATGGGGAGAGATGGCTCTGGTTCCTGAAGATTGAGCAGCATGCCTGTCGGCCAGCATCTGGAAATATGCATGAGGTGCCCAACCTGCATGTTCAAAATAAGTAACAACCCTGATTTGCAAACTAATCTTCAAAATAGTTCACAATTCAACAGAAGAATGTGCAATTTCACTCCTTTTTTCTTTAGCATATGCTTGTTGTCAATTTCAAGTTCTTGAAATTTTAACCTATGGGATTGGCAAATTTAAGCGACTGATCGAAGCAGAATTAATGGTTGTGAGGGATGAAATAAAACACAGACAGGCCCTTGTGACATTTCCAAACAAGAGCCCCACTCTCCAATACTATTGTTTCCATCTGTACATTCTAGAAAATACAACACCAACAAGCAAAGGTAGATCATAAAATTGTTAATGCAAGAAAGAGAAAAGGATGCATAACGTACCAATATAACAATCAACATTATAATTTTGGTCGTTCACCTACTAGGGCTATACTCACGTGAAAAGTGGAAAAGGAGCAAGTAAGGAATAAGGTGGCCATGAGATGAAACTTTCACAAGAAAAAACAAGTGATGTCTTCTCTACTCATATTTTTTTATGGGGAAACCCCATAACAAGTAAAAACTTTCTCTATTATATTTATTTTCTTATACAAGCGCAAGAATATATAGCACTTTGCTCATGTCTAACCGATGATAAAGTATGTGTATTTTCCAACTCAAAAAGTTATTATATTCGAATCAGAAAAACTTTAAATAACTGCTCTCTCAAAATTAATTATGTCACCCATATGATGTATCAAACTCTAAATATGTTTGATTTAGAAGGTAGACACACCAATATTGCTCTTAAAACCAAAACCCACAAGGGAGCGCTAGGAGCAACCACCCCAACAAACGCTTTTCAATACTTCTGAGTATTAGAGAGTCAAGTTGAAGATATCATTTTATAAAATTTTAATTATCAATTTATACTCCATAATTTTATTCCGAAAGTATATAAAATAAATATTTTTTAGCAGTTTTAACCAGAATTGCAAAACAATAAGAATAAATTCATGTGTAATTTTATTAGTACAAACTTAAGAGAGACATACCATCCTCATTATGTGGAGAAGGAAAGAATTGCAAGTAACAGAATGCTGCCATGGTTGATCCTGCACCAAGAAAGAACGAAAGGAGTACTTGCTTATTCCAATGCTAATCAGCTTCAATCTCATTAGGAAACAAACCTATAAGAGCTCCAGCGAAAACATCTGTCCAGTGATGCCAGTAGTCATCCACCCGAGAAACACCCACCAGAGCGGCAACAAGCACTGGTAAAAACACGATGCAGAGTTTTGCAACATGGCCTCTACGATCAAACGCTCTAATTTTTCCTGACATATACCATGAAAGGAACGAAAGACCTGCAAAAGACCCTGCATATCCATATCCACCACTGTTATGTACAGAACACAGCAAGAAATCAAACAATACCAATTAAATGTTTAATGATCAATCATTTGCGGATATGTAACACTCTTTCATAGTCCACCTAGATAATGTTAGGAAGTATCAGGGAATTTTCCTTAAGTTTCCAAAAAAGAATATGTATAACGAAAGCATTGGCTGTCCAAAACAATGGCCCTGCAGTTAAACAGGGGGCCATTAACTATGAACTTTCATCTGGTCAAATGAATAAACTCAAATTATTTGCATATCTCCATCGCTTAAATGTGAAATGTTGTTAACGGTTTATACATTTAATAGCTTCAAGGGAAGACAATCCAGAATTCTTTAGCAATCTAAAAATACATGTTAAGCTTACATGAAGTGTGACCACTGGGAAAGCTTTTGTATCCTTCCTTTATATGCTCTTCATTTCCATGACAAACAACATCCCCTATAATTCTGTCAAACACCTGCACATGCCAATGACAAATGGAATGAAAAGCAGGCAATGATCGATGCAACGAATCAAGAACATGCCTTAGCTTACTAAAACGTAATGGAAGCAATTGTCAAGAAGCCTCTTTCCACAAATGAATACAGAGCGGCTGTTATGTGTATAGGCAGGAGATGGACATGAAAACACACCGCCTTTCCATCAGGGAAACAGCGCCAGAAGAAATTTGGTCTCGGCCTACCAACAGCATCTTTGATTGAATCCGTTATAACTCCAGTTACCAGGACAGAAAATAGAAGACCTAAGTGCATGTTAAAGCATTTCAGTGAGTAACCATTAGCATTGTGAATCACAGCCTAGTTTCTGAAAGCAAAGAAGACTGTTAGGTACCTAGTACAGCATGATGGAAATCATATACATCCTTCCTGAAATAGTAGTATATGGAAAAAATAACTAAAGGCAGCAATACTGCAAGAAACTGTACCAGGAATCAGAAAATTTTTATGAATTGGTTAATGGAGTAGAGGGGATTTCAAGTAACCACATAAGGCACATACTGGAACAGCCCAGAAAGGGATGGTATCTTTGTGGAAGGGGAATTTCAAATCTGTCATCATTTCTTCCCCAACAAAGCGGTGAAAGGGCTCTATAAAATTCAGAAGGCCATCAATAACAACAAGACATACAAGAATTAGCCAGTCATATAGATGTATTCTGGCCACCTTTACTCCATGAGATGTCAATGTATGAGCTCCCAGCAGGATCTCTGACATCTTTCCAACTGGACATAGACAAGAAGACGTAGCTCAATTATTTATTATGAATTTAAGAACAATTAGGACATATGAAGCATAAGTGATACCAGAACAAATTATTTTTTTTATTCCCAGTTACAGCCATGCTATCTTTCTCCCTTCTAGTTGCCCACTTTCCAGCAACAGCCAACAGACACCTCAGAAAAACTATCTCCATTTAAAAATGACCACTATCTATAATTTCTTACAAGTCTTTCATATTGTTATCCATCTCCAAACAAAGAAACATTTGAGTTTTTTATACTGATTCAAACATAAACTTTGGAACTTGGGATGGAACTTGCATTGGAAACTACAATTGATCAATGCAATGGAGAATGAAGCAGTGAAATAACTGTTAATTTTTAGTCATACTTGAAAATTGAGACCAGAGGTTTCTGCTGTTTGTCCCACTCTGACCAGAGGAAAACAAGTCATGCATTCAAGTATGGCATGCCATGTAAATGAATACTATACTAACACCACTTTTTCACTAAGCTACTGCTATTGAAACCATTCTTAAAACAAACACAGCAAAACAAAACTCTTCTAGACCTAGAACTTTGTTTAATTTCTCCTTTTCCTTGTTCCTTTCTTCCTAGTGGGTACAAACCTTTCATATGTAATTTCTGGGATGTTTGAATACCACCGGTACATTAAGCTAATCTATAATGCATAGAACTGATATGAAAATGCACCCTGCGACAGAGACCATATAAGGTGAATAAGCTTAAGAAACTAATTAAGAGCTTTCCATTATAAGCTTAAACAATTAATGCTATGCCTGATCAGGGTTGCAAGAAAATTCAATTTTGGCTAACCTTAAACTTCTGGGCCTTAAGATTGAGGTGTTGCAGGTGTAATGTGAATTAATTCAAATAGAAGAATGGGGATCCAGGACTGAAACATATTAATCTATCATAAGAAAATTCGTAATACATGAAATAAACATATGCAAACAGTTCTCATTGTTTACGCCATACACAATAATCAACATTGAATCAAACATATAAGGGTGAATGTCCTTTGTTAAACCATAAAATTAATGCGCAGCCATTAACATTCATGCATACGGTAAAAAGACAGGAGAGGAAAATAACGTACGTAGCCTTGAGGATGATAATCGTGGAAAGTGGGATTGGCCGTGAGAAATAGAGGTTCTATTTCCTATTTTTTGTGCTATAAGTAAGATGTTGAATTTCGTTTTTAAGAGGTGGGCCAAATCAATCCTAGATTTTCTAATATTGGCTCCAAATTCTGTAATTTGGGTGTTTGATTATTTTTATGGCAGCAAACAAATTTCCTGAAATTGTTTTTCCTTTCCATTTTTTTTACCATAGGGAAACCAAAATTGTAATTTAGTTATAATAGAAAGATATGAAGTTTCCACTGACACCTGTCTGCTTTTTTTTCTTAGATTGAGCATATTTGACTTGGTTTTTTTTTAACTTAAAAGCTATTATAAAGTTTTTATAAAAAATAATGACTTTTAAAATTAAGTTAAAGTTGTTTGCTAAAATTATTTTTTATAAGCCTTTTTTTATAGATAAGCTATTTGACAAAATAATTTATATAAACTCTAATTTAGATTAAAATTACCATAAAATATATTTAATAAATAATTTTCTACTAATCATGAATTTCTTTACTCAAAATAGAAAAAATTAACTTTGTTTTTTATTTATTTAAAATAAATTTTTGAAAATATAAAAGCATTTTTATATAACATAAAGACTTTTTGCAACATGCGTGAATATTTTGGCTTAAGAATATACATTTCTTACCTTTCAAAAAAAGATATTTCTTCCGCAAGAATTAAATAGTTTAAGAAGAAAATTTATTTTATACACAATTAGTTGAAAATAATAGATATTGTCATTTATTTCATAATTTTAATTGAAATTTTAAGTCTAAATTATATAGTACAAAGTTTTATAATTGTTAAATTTTCTTGTAAAATCAAAATGTGGATTTATATTATATATTTTTGTATCTTTATCAAAATTAGGTTAAGTTAATTTAGGTTTGATAAAAAGATAATATTTTAATCAATAATATGATCTCTTAAAGTGGTTTAGACTTTAATTATGTTTGACAAAATAACTGGTTTGTCAAAAACACAAAAGAAAAAGTACTATTATCATACATATTTGACATGAACAAATCATTAACATGAACAAACTTATTTAATTTATTTCAATCATAATCAATAAATATTACATACATAAAAAAAATTAAGAACAAATAAATATCACATAATTGACATATCAAATAATAAATTAAGAAATATCATATAATAAACAGAGTTTCCAAAACTCAGAAAAATAAAAGAATGATAAAAAATAAAAAGAAAAAGAAAACTAAAAAAAGAAGAAATAATACTTGTAGTTTTGATTTTTTTGTTTTTGATCCTTTTAATTTTTGTAAGAATAAAAAACTCTTAATTTGCAGAAAAGGAGAGGGGAGAAGGAGATTGATAGGGAGAAAAGGAAGAGTATTTTTTTGAGAGAGAGGATTTTTTTGGAAAAAAATAACTCTCTTAATAAGCCGGCGTGTTTTTTAAAAAAAAAAAGAAGAGAAAACTCTTAATTGGAGCTTTTTTTAAGCTCTTTTTTTTTTTAGATTTTATTTTTTTAAAAAAAAATTACCTTTTTTTAAAAACTTTTTACGAAATTCTACTTGGCCCAACTTCTGCTTTTAAGCAGTAGATAAGGTAAATATAAGTTAGGCCAAACGGGTACTAAGTCTTGCAAGAAACATTCCACATGGAGCACTAAAATGGAATTGAAGCACTACCAACATGAGTTGTAATTATTAATTTTAGAAATATTTTGGGAAGAATTTTTTTTTATTTTCATTAATTTTAGAAATATGTTTGAAAGAATATTTCTTTATTTTCTTTTCACTTTGTTAATACTCTAAGGAAGTCCTTATTTGCTATTTAGGTTACTCGCACACCAACTAGGTTTAGGTTTAGTTAGCTATTATAATTACTTTACTTGCACAACAAGTAAGTGTAGGTTTAATTGGCTAAATAGGTTTTTATGTAATTACTTATTTTCCATTAAACAGTTTAGTTCTTTGCTTATGTCTTAAACATTTTCTACATGATATCAGAACAGTTTTAATTTAAAAAGAACTCTCTAACACGAATCTTGTATTCTGAAGCTTGTATAGGCTACATGAAGAACAGTTTAGTTCTTTGCTTATGTCTTAAATATTTTCTACATGATATCAGAACAGTTTTTATGTAATTATTTATTTTCCATTAAACAGTTTAGTTCTTTGCTTATGTCTTAAATATTTTCTACATGATATCAGAACAATTTTAATTTAAAAAGAACTCTCTAACACGAATCTTGTATTCTGAAGCTTGTATAGGCTACATGAAGACTTAGAGGAAGAAGTCTAGATGAAGTTACCACCACGAATTAAACACAGTTTGTTGTGTAGAAAGAAAGTTTGTAAACAGTATAAGTCATTATATGGGCTAAAATAGTCACTTAGAGCTTGGTTTTAGAGGTTTTCTTCTATAATGAAAGCATTTAGTTTCAAGCAAAGTAACTTAGACCATACTTTGTTTATAAAACACAAAGAGGAGAAAGTAATAGCTTTAATCGTGTATTTCAATTATATGGTCTTGACAGGAGATGACCCATGCAAAATGAAAGCATTACGGGAATATCTGGCTACTAAATTTGAAATGAAGGATTTAAGGCCATTTAAATATTTCTTAGGGATTAAGGTTGCAAGATCGAAACAAGATACTTTCCTTTCACAACGGAAATATGTGCTAGATCTCTTAACCTAAATTGTAATACTTGTTTACAAACCAGTAGACATAGCCATAGAGATAAATCACAAGCTTAGGATTTTTTCAAATCAAGTTCTAACAAAAAAAGTCGTTATCAATGGTTGGTTGAAAGATTAATTTATTTATCACACATAAGACTGGTTATAGCTTACGCTGTAAGTGTTGTAAGTCAGTTTGTGCATGCACCGAGTGAAGAACATATGAATGCACTATATTGAATCTTAAGATACTTGAAGAGTTCTTTAAGAAAAGGTTTGTTATTCTTGAAAAATGGTGTCTTTAACATTGAAAGATTTATGAATTTTGACTGGGCAGGTGGTCAAACTACTAGAAGATCCACATCTAGTTACTTTACTTTTGTCGAAGGTAATCTTGTCACTTGAAAAAGCAAGAAGCATAAGGTTATGGCAAGATCAAGTGCAGAAGTTGAGTTTTGAGGTATGGCTTATGCTACATGCAAATTATTGTGGATTAGAACTATTCTTAAAGAGTTGAGAATTGAATATGCAAAACTTATGAATCTTTATTGTGATAATAAGGCAACCATTGAAATTGCGCAAAATCTTGTACAACATGATTGCACCAAGCATGTTCGAAATTGATTAACATTTCATCAAGGAGAACCTCAATCAAAAAATTATACAAATTCAATTTGTTAAGTCTGAAGATCAATTAGCTAATATTTTCAAAAAAATAATTTCTAGGAAGGTGGTCCATGGTATAATTGACAAGTTGAGCATAATTGATATCTATGTTCTAACTTGAGGGGGAGTGTTAGCATGAATTGTAATTATTAATTCCAAGAATATCTTAGAGAGAATATTTCTCTATTTTTTTTAATTCTAAGAATATCTTAGGGAGAATATTTCTCTATTTTTTTTTTACTTTGCTTATACTCTAAGGAAGTCTAGGTTAAAATACTTTTTTATTTACTTATTTCTTTACTTGCACAATAAGTAGGTTTAGGTTTAGTTAACTATTATAAATATCCTCTTCTGTAGTTTTTTATTTTACATCAAGCAGTTTAGTTCTTTGCATAAATCTTGAATATTTTCTACAAGCACTTACCAACCAAAATAGTTAACAATCTACAGTTGAAACCAAACCACAAACCAACTGATACTTGTCATCCTAATTTTCCTCTTTGGGCATCCCTAAAAAGACACAGCACCTTCAATAAGAAGAGTAATGCATCCCTAAAAGTACACACCACCTTCGATAGGAAAAGTAATATTTCCGAGTTAGCACCACCTTACAAATAATTCATTTCTGTCCACACCCATTTTCACAGGCAAATCAACAAAGTAATCAGCTTCTCTAAACATGTTTAAAAAAAAACATATCAAATGACATCTCATGATGTATTTATCTGTTAAAAAGCCTCCATCATTTTAAGGCCTTTTATATGGGTTTAAAACTCAAATTAGGGCAACCATAAAGTCTGATTCAACAACTAAATATGACTTTCTAAATCAACGTGAGTCACAAAATATTTTTGAAGCTACTTTAATAGCATATAACTTAACATAATTGAAATCAAATACACTAAAGAGTCCAAAAAACATGGGAAGAATAATACCTTTAAAGTTTATCAACACGCCACCACATCTTGAGGGGTCTGGTTTCTCTCTAATGGAGCCATCAACATTAAAGTTGAAAAAATTGGATCAAGGAGGTTTCTACTAAGCATCCTTTCTACGAAGTAGATATTTAGGGATATATGGCTATGAGTTACTTCTTAGATCAATCCACCAAGTTTTTTTATAATATATTTAGAGAAAGGAAAATTTGAACCTTACTATTTTAAGAAAGAGATCATAAACTAACTAATAAGTTAAATGCTCGAATGCGAGATCAGTCCACCAAGTTGCATCAATAATATTACTGTTCCCCTCCGTTGCTTTTATCCAGTAAAGAGATTGAAATTTAACCAATCCTATCAAGTCTTTTATTTCATATTTTTTTCAATCAAACAAAGCCTCATTTCTAACGTCTCAAAAAGAATCATGGAGTTGTCTCGCAAACCATAAACCATCATGTCTTGCACCTCACTTGTCTTACTAATTATGAATAACATTGTTGCAAAAAGATTTGTATACAACTAGATATTGTAGCCTACGACTTCCCACCATTTCAAAATTTCACTTAAAAATTCCAACTCTAATAATAGGAAATAAGTAGGTGGTTATAGTCCTTGACAAAGTTGTTACAACAAGGGTATAATCTAAGTTCTTACAATAATGAAATTTCTATCAAAATGAAAAATGTTTTTGTCAAAATGCACTTTAAATAGGCTAAACATAAGAAACATTGATTTCTATGTTTTTTGGCTTTTAATTCAAATTAATTTGAATGTGTATTGATTATTAGCATTTTTCATAAGTTATATTTTAACAGCAATTAAATTATTCCAATAGGTCAAACAAAATATTCTTCTTCCTCTCATTTTTTTACGTCCAAAAACAATGCCCTTTATTTCTTTTAGAAATTTAATTTTTGTTCGAAGTTTTAATATTTCATAATTTTTTTGACATTAAGAAGCATAAAATACCAATTTTATAAAAAAAAATAACAATTTTAATATATTGAAATCAACCATTTTCTTTTAAATTTTATGAAAATGAAAATACAACCAAGAGTGTAATAACATTTAAGTATAATATATATATATATATATATATAGAGAGAGAGAGAGAGAGAGAGAGGTGCATTGATGGAGTAAAAGTTGGATTTAAATTCTGGTTGTATATTAATTAATTATCTATGATTTACTCTTTAATGCGTACGAATTTTTTTGGCCACATAATGCGTATATACACCATTTTTCAGTGCTAAAAACTTCTAGAAACATGGCAAATTATATGACCGTTGCATAGTGGCATCTCTTTTTAAGGTAAAAAAAGGGCAAATGGATATGTTTGGAATATTATTTTTGAAATATTCCATAAACATTAAAAATGGACATAATTCTTTTTAGAAAACAATCAAAAAATATAAAACCAAAAGGATTAGATGAAAAAAATTTTGAAAGTGAAAAAGAAATATTTTTTATTTTTAAAGTTTATTAAATATTACAAAGAGAAAATAATTTCATAATTTTAAAAAATTAAAGCCTTAAAAAGAATATCTTTATTTTTTAAAAAATTCTTTCTATTTTATGGATTTTCCAATCTTTTATAATTCTTAAAAATAGAAACTATTTCTATTTTTTATTGCTCGAGAATTTTTTTAATAATTAAAATTTTATTATTATTTTTAAATTTTTGAAACATTCTAAGAATTAAAAAATTATTTTTATGTTTTTCAAAATTGATAGATTTTTTTTCAAAAATTTAAAACTATTTCTAATTTTCAAATTTGTTTAAAGTGATAAAAATAATTTTAGATTTTTAATGATTGGGAAAAGGAAAAAATGTCAAATTAAGTTTGATAGCATGACATAGTAATTGTAATATGAGATTGCAATAGTTTTTTAATACAATCACATTACAATTTACACAATTGACTGTAATGTGATTATATTATAATCTATATTATGTTTAGTTATTTCTAAACAAATGCTGTAATATAATTTAATCGAATACATTGTAAGGAATGTAGATGTGCATCTCTCATACCAAACACTACCATAGTGTTGACGATAGTATATGAAATCAACATTACATGTAAAGATATAATATTTAAAAAAGCCTTAAATTATTTTAAAAATACAGATAAAATATTTATTCTTTTATTACATCCAATCAAACTCTTATAATTTTATTTTGAGTTCAGTAAACTCTTGTGATTAATAATTGATAATTGTTGTTAATCAAAGTATCACTTCTCATTTTATATAACGTGATACTGAAGTCATGTTTGATATGTTATAAGAGATTATGATGTAACATGTTAATGGGGTGTAATTGTCACGGAGTCATTACTCTCTCCCCCATAAACGCGGTTATGGAGGTGTGCAGCACACCTGCTTATAAAGAAGTCAAGACCTCTCGTTCCTGTCCGATGTGAGATAGAGGCACTTTCCTCGTGACACTCTCTCCCATCCGATTTCGGCAACGTCCTCGTTGCCGTCGGCCACCCTGCCTACCCTGAGTCTCCCTAGGCCCGGGCGCTTGGCGTGAGTCAGACAAGGTCCGGTCCGCTCTGATACCACTTGTCACGGGATCATTACTCTCTCTCCCATAAACGCGCTTATGGGAGTGTGCAGCACACCCCCATATAAGGAGCCCAGGACCTCCCGTTCCTGTCCGATGTGGGATAGAGACACTTTCCTCGTGACATAATGACATGGTCATATGATAATTTTTACTTTCTATATAAGCGTCATGTCAATTTTATATGAATATAAAATGACAAGTAATAATAGTCATCTATTAGTTATAAATGCTTATTTGATCCATTTTAAAAATATAAAAACTACATTAAATAAAATAAAAAATAGCATCCGAGTATTTGACTCATTGATTGGTGCATTACCCCTGTCTAAAGAGTAAGGTTTGAATCCCCTCTCAATTATTAAAAAAATAAAACAAAAAATAAATATTTATTTGAAAATTTTTAAAAATTTATTACAATCATGACATACCTTAATTAGGTACACTAATTTAAGAAATCAAGGAAAGAAAAAATTGGACTAAAATTCTATGGGAAATTTTCTTGGTTTTATTTATTATACTTTTACCCATCCACAATTGTGTAACACACGCTTTTCTTTGCTAAGAGTCATACGATTCAATATCATCGTTGACGATTTCTGAAGGTTTTCTTTCCAAATCAAACCCAAAATGCTACTGTAATTTAGGTAATTGACAATTTGACGTATTCAGAAAACAAATCTTTAGCCAATGGAGAAAATCTAGAGGTTCATTCCATTATAAAATAACTCATATTTATAGCTTCTTCTCCAATAGTGAAACCCCACAATTTTGATCTGCTCCAATCTTTGTTCACATTCATCTTCTTTTAGGGGGGTGATAATCGATCTTTGTTAATATTGATCACCCATCACCATGCTTAACCAGCAGAAAATGGCAAACCAGTGTTGCGGAGACGGCGAGGAGGGAAAGAAGAAACCTGCAGGGAAAACCAAAGGCCGGCAAAGGATTGAGATCAAGCAACTTGAAAAGAAAAGCAACTTGCATGTGACTTTTTCGAAGCGCCGGAAGGGTCTCTTCAAGAAAGCGAGCGAGCTTTGCATCTTGTCTGGTGCAAAAATCGGCATTATCGTGCTATCTCCAAGTCCTAGAGAAAAGCCTTTCTGTTTTGGTCATCCCGACATCGACACGGTCCTGGATCAATATCTCAGTGGAAACCCAGCTTTTGATGATGATGATGACAACAGTCAAGATTATGCAACATTAACAGATCTTCCAGGTTTTGAAGAAATCTACACGCAGTATGAAGAGTCGTTGAAGGAGCTGGAGAAGGAAAAGAAGCGTGGAAAGGAGATAGAACAGGCACAGAACGTGGAAAACAATGACGGGTTTTGGTGGGACGAGGCTATTGATGGTATGGGGGCAGAGGAGCTTGAGGCCTACATGAAGGCTATGGAGAAGCTGAAGAATAATCTGATTGTAAGGGCCAGTGCTTTGACGATGGCTAATGTCATGGAGACTGCTGTCCAGGCTGACCATAGTTATGGTTTCGGAGGTTCATAGTGAATAGTGTTTCAATGCTTTAGCTATTTAATTATTATTATAAATATCCTTTTATTAGACATTAAAAGGCATTTTTATGACATATAAGTTATAAATAAAGAAGAGATTTGAATTCAACTCCTTTAAATAAGACATGTGTTTCTCGTATTAAGGTTAAATCTTAATTTTATAGATTTTGATTTTAATATAGTTGATGTTTTCTTTTAAGACATCAGTATTAACTTTTTGACTTTAATTTGTGAATGAATTAATGAATGATTGTGTGAATTCACTTCTTCTTTATTTTTAGTAATGTATTTATTATGTAATTAATGATTTTAAAAACCCAACAATTAATGTCAAGAAATAATTAATGCAAATATATATATATATATCACAAAATTACTGCCTTTGTTTTTAATTATTTGTCTCTTTTAATTGATTTTAAATCAAATGCCCGTATGATGTATTACTAATAATAATTATATTTCATATTGAACCACACAAAATCCAAAATCATTTCCTTGTAATTATTATAAACTAGTAATAATGATATTATAATGTGCAAGAATTAGTGGTGGTAAAACTTTGATGGAAACCTAATTAATTCACCAGATTCATTCGAAATTTGACTCGATCCAAGTTTAAGTTGTTAAAAACTCACATTTAAAACCAAATCACATTTGACTTACAAAGTAAAGTATGGTAATAATTGACTTAAATCTGAAACAATTACTTAGGATCCGATTAATTTGAACTTATCATAATGAATTTAAAAAGGTATCGATCTAATTTGCTGTAATTGTAATGAATTCAAAAGTAAAGCATCGATCTAAACCTAACATAGATCTTAACCTAAAATGATAAAAAAACTCAAAACTAAAATGATCAAATCTCGACTTTGGCCAATTATATCTGTAATTACTTGAATCTTGTCACAAGCTTTCATCCCCGATCATCGAACTTTACATTGTCTTCATTAGATTATGAGATAGGGGAAATATTATTATTTTGAAACTAACTATGAATTGTACAACCCAACATGTGACTTTGATATAAAAAAATTACTTGAAGCAAGAGTTCCATCCCATATTTTATTTGTTATGGCATAAAATATTAGCTCCTAACTGGCTTCAAACAACAAGCACAAAGGAGCCATCAAGGCCAAAAATGACAAATTCAAAAATATACTAATCTCTATGTTGTGTTTAGTTAATCTCATTCATATATTATCTCCTCAAGAACAAATAAAAACCCAAAAATTAGAATTAATCAAATGAAAAACATACCCTAAATGGCCCACAGTTGCCCTATTGGGTTTCGTATAGTTATTACAGCCTCCTCGTATCTGTAGGAAAGAAAGCAAAGTGCAAACCCAAACTTATTGGTAGTGAAATCTTTCATAACTTGGCGTTGTTGTGAAGTTAGTTTCTCTTACTTGGACGTTGAATATTACTATTGAAAAATAAGGATCAAAGCAGCTGTTATGATAACGCACAAAATTCTATAAATCTGCATGTGATCGAGTCCATTTCCCATCACAGTCCAGATGCATGGCTAACTTGTCGAGGATTCCATCCCATGCCCACCCAATCTACAGCTAGCAATGCCAGTTCTGCCTTTCACTGGTAAAAATTAAAGCTAATACGAGTAGCAAAACTTCCATTTTTACGTGTAAGTTTTGCAATTTGATTGAACATTGAAATAATACTATAATACCACTAGTTCTTGTGTCAAATCCTAGTCATCAAAGTTTTAAGAAGAAATGAAACAATTAACTATAAAACCACCGGCTCTGGTTAGCCCCTTCGTGCTTGTGCATCCTCCGTCCACCTCACAACAAACCTCTACCCCAAAGCAAGAAACGCCTCCTCCGATGGATCCACCACCTCTACCCACTGCCCCCACCGCTGCCGCAGCCACCAGCGTGCCTCTTAGCAACCCTGACTCCGTTGAGTCCTCCCCACGCCCCCGCACTGAGAACACCTATGATGACCCTCTCCCAGCTGTCCCTGGCGCAAGGCTCCGCCTAATGTGTAGCTTTGGTGGTCACATAATACCCCGTCCGCATGACAAAACCCTTTGCTACGTCGGTGGTGAGACTCGTCTTGTTGCGGTTGATCGCCATTGCTCCCTCGCAGCCTTTTGCACCCGCCTCTCACGCGCTCTTCTCAATGGCCGACACTTTACGTTGAAGTACCAGCTCCCAAATGAAGATCTTGACTCTCTTGTATCAGTTGCCACAGATGAGGATCTTGAAAACATGATCGAAGAATATGACCGTCTAACGGCATCATCAGCTTCTTCTGCAACCTCCTCTCGAATCCGTTTATTTCTTTTCCTTAACAAGCCTGACACTGTAGCCTCCATGGGTCCACTGCTAAATGATGCCAAGTCTGAAACATGGTTCGTTGATGCTCTTAATGGTTCGGGGTTGATTCCTAGAGGGGACTCTGATTCTGCTGCCATGGAGACCTTGTTGAACCTTGATGGTGAGTTGGAGGCACAAGAAGTAGCAGCGGAACAGACCAAGCAAGTGAAAAGAAATAATGCAGTTCGTCATGAGGTGCAATGTTCATTGCCTGATTCGCCTAAGGTGGAGAAAACTTCATCTTTTGGTTCACCTCCTTCTTCACCTTCAATGTCCAACTTACCACCTATTCGGGTTCGAGTTGATCAGGATGGTGGGGCTAAAGTGCAGGACCAGAGGGCTGGCATAGAAGAGCAGTTTGCTCAGATAAGTTTTGCTACTAATATTCATAAGCAAGATGATGGTTATGGGGCTGCGGTGTCTGCTCTGCCCCCGCACCCTGTGGCTGTTGCGACTGCTATGATCACTTCTGCAGGGGGTTCTAGTGACAACTTGAATCGGATTTTGTCTGATGATGAGAGATCCGATCAAGGGGTGCCTATTGGTTTTCGCAAACCTCCATTACCATTGCAGCCAGTACAACAGAAAGCTTGTGGCGCTTATAATTTGCCTTCCCCTGATTCAGTTGCAAGGTGTTTTCCTAATTACTATAATTTCTTTTCCCTGGATTTTAACTTTTATTTTCTTCTCTCCTTTTGTTTCATTGAAGTCAGTATCATCACAGAAATAAACAAATTGTACTTTCATTTACAAAAATGCCTTAATCTAAGTAGATTGTTACATTTCTTCTCTGAAGATTAGTAAGCTGACTGCTTTTAGTCCAAACTGAGGAGAAATATGTGCTCATAATAGATTTTATTTGGTATTATTTTCAAGCATGTTATAGGACTATTATTCATTTTCTTGATTTTCAACTTCTAGAAAGAATAACCTAGTCCTGAAGATGGTCTTTCCTTATTCTTGCCTTTGTTCTGAACCAAAACATGCAGTGATAGTAGCATTGCCTCGGCAAATTCTCTCTCAAAACCCATGTATTATCAAGATCAAGCTCATATTGCATCCAGAGATAGCAGAGCTGCTGTTAGCCCCAATACAAATGCTGATACTTCCATTCCAAACTCCCAAATCCAAATTCATCAGCTTCAAGATGCCTATGCTTTAGCTCCACAATTGGATCCACAGCAGCAACAAGCACAGCAACAATTCATGCAAGCCAGCATGCATTACATCCCCCACCCTACCACATCTCCTGCTCCAGTGCCAATGTCATCTTACTATCCGGTGTATGCTACACCATCGCAGCAGCATCAGCTTCATCATCCAGCCGATCAGCAGTACCCTGCAGTGTATGTAATGCCTGTTACACAAATAACACAACCACAACCATACATGTCCATGCAATCTAGCACTGGTGTCATGACTCTGAAATCCAACATAACTGACGCTGGCATTGTCACCCCAAGCCGCCCATTGACACCTCCGGCTCCTTCAATTGTTGCTGCCACCACTGCTTACAAAGAGGCCACGCCTCCCATGTACCCTACAAATACAGCTACCCTTGCTAAACCTGAAATGGCAGCAACTGTGTACAGAACAGCTGTGCCATCAACTCCTCAACTGGTTCAAGTTCAGCAACCATATGTTGGCTTCTCCCAAATGCAGCATCCACAACAATCCGTTGCTGTTACTCCTGCTGCTACTACCAATTATGGTTATGAGTATCCAAATCCTTCACAAGATCAAATGTACTATGCTCAGCATCAAGCTCCTCCACTGCCTCCACAGTATCAAACCATGACTCAAGCTGCTGCAGCAGCTGCATTGGCAGATGCTTCACTGCAGCAGCCAACAGACAGTAGCAATCAGCAAATCAGAATATCACAGCCACTATAAGGTGATAGGGCAGCGAAAACAGACAATTTTGAATGGACTTAATATGGTGGTTGTACCTTGATTTTTCTCTTTCAATAATTGTTATAGCACAACTAATGTTTTAGTATGTAATTCACAATAAGATATTGACTATCGTTCTTCTTCTTTTTCATCTGGCTACCTTTCTCCTGTAAAATAAAATGTTATAGCATGGTGTAACATAATAATTAAGAAGTCCTGATTTGCCTTGATTGCTCAATTATTTTGAAGGGGCTTTGAGTCAATTGCTTATCTCATATGCATTCCTTTTATATGGAATTTGAAACTTAGAGGTTCTACCAGTTGCATAGAAAGAACAAATCATGCAAGCATAAATGTCCTAATAAAATGAATGCACTTACAGACTTCCAGTCCAAAGAGCTGCAATGCAATATTTCAGATGATAGAAAGCCCTACTTGCTTTCAGGTGTGAGTTTAAAATTGGATGTATATTTCTAGGCACGCAGATGTTTACTCCATTTCTCTTATAAGGAGTCGAGAATCAGAGCTTGTGCTAGTTGCAAGCCCATGTGGATTAGATGTGGAGAGCACATTCAGAGGCCAGAGAGAAGGGGACTTGTCATTGTACTGTTGTACAAAACTGAGAAATCCGATGAGATGACAATCTTGTGCCCAACTAAAACGCAGCAAGAACTTGTACCCTAGAGATCATACAGGAAAAGCAGCAGCTGTTTGATCATCACTCAACAGCTCATTGAGAATGAAGTTGCTACTGGCTTGCAAATCTAACAGGCTGACGTCAGTTTCTTTATAGTGCCCATGGCGATGAGAGAATGTGCAGGAACAGTCTTTTGTCATATTACCAGCATATGAAGTGTTGACTTCTGCATATTCAACGTGCATTCTAGGGAATCTATCAGTATTGCTTTGCAACACTAGAAAACAAACTTTGGTGTAAGATCCTGTTGAGCCGGTTGTTTTAGTATATTTTATTTCTGGGCATACCTGGGAACGTTTAGTCTTCTGATGCAAAGTTTTTGTCACGTTTTGCCTTTGTTTTTATCTTTTTCCTAAGCAGAGTCTAATTCTGAGAACAAAAGATTTCTCCAGAAATATGTAGTGCTCGAAATGGGATCATACAAATGAGTTGAAAAATATTGGCCAGGCAAACAATACTACCATGGCAGTAATATCTACTGCTTGCAGCTGGCATGCCTATTTTTCGCAAAGTGGATCAGCCACTGTCCCTTCTATTACTGTCAATAAGGCACGAAATGGTAAGCAGATTTATGATTCATTCAATGTGGATCGTGCACCTTGGTTTGTTCTATTTCTTCATGATTTTTTGGCTTTCCTTGTTCCAATTATTAAGCCATATTATTTTCCGCAACGGAATTGTCTTCTGTTTTTTAATTTCAAGTGCTTAATGATTACGACTAAAGCAAAAAAAATTTGGTCATAAAAAGCAAACGTATGCACTCAACTTGGTTGAAGAAAGTTATTTATTATTTATTATTTATTTTATTTATAATATTAAAAAAATTATGAAGAATAACCTTTCTTAATAAGGGCATTTTAAAAAATAATCATCAAAATAAATTTAAATATTTTTAGTTATATTTAGTTATGACTTGACAAAAATACCCTTAAAATTATTTCAAATAAATTAAATCATTCATCAGAATTTCTCCCAAACTTCTTATTTCCCTCTCAACATCCCACTCTTTTTAATTTTATCGATTTCTCTTTTGGCATTCGTTTACTATGCTTTCGATTTCTCTCTCACGCCTTCAGATTTATCTTTTCAACACTTTGAAGACACCAAACGATGATTTTGATGTACTTGAGTAGATGATTATTTGAAGAATTTGATTTTTAAGTATTTTGGATAAAATTAAACAATAGAAATGATCACAGATATTTGAAGTAGCTTTTAATTAGATTAATTCGGGATCTAGACATCAATAAATTTAAAATTTTAAAATTTATAAATCTTGATTTTTAATAATTTTTTTTTATTTTTAATCAAAATAGGTATTTTAGATAAAAAATTTATATTTTGATTTATAAAAACATGTTAAAAATGCTTTAATCGGTATCAAATTATCAAAAAAATAAAAAAAATAAAGAGAGTTGAGAGGATTTGAAGTTTTAATTTATAAGTAACAATAACAGTTTAAGCATTAAAATGTAATAAAATGTTTTTGAATATGACGTGTAACAATCTTTTTTCATCATTGTGTATAACATATTTTAGTACATGCAGTGTAACAATAGTATTTTTTTTAACATGACGTGTAACAACCTAACCATAACGTGTCACATATTTTTGTACATGACGTGTAACAACCTGACCATGGCGTGCCACACGTTTTTGTACATAACGTGTAGCAATCTAACCATGACGTGTAACATATTTCTGTACATATTGTATAATATCATAGCGTATAATTTCATTAAGAATATTTTTATCCAACTCGATTAAAAATAATTAAAATTATAAAAGAGATTATTTTTAAAATTATCTTAAAGTTATTTTTTAAAATGCCCCTACAGTATTCTGTTATCAACTCCTTACCATCTCACGCACAGAAACCTTTGATCCAATAATTGAAAAAGTTGTGAACCTTCTGATACATTTTAAGTTAATCCCATCCCTATATTTGAGCCCTCTGTCTTTCGTCGAAAGTTTTCTTTCTGTGAAAAATAGAAAAGAAAGAGCAAGTACAGCAAAGGGTGTCCAAATCAGCAGCTTTCAAAAGTAACATAAAGGCCGCCCAACCGACCAGGGAACCGTCTGCTAACTTCCCTTCTCCCTTAGCTGTTTGAGGCCCGTCATCTGTCCTTCAAAACTCTCTCAGTTCTTCAAACAGAAAAATCCAAAAAAGGAGAAAAGAGTGCGAAGAAGTAAAGGTTTTGCATCTCTCTCAAAGCAATTTGAAACCTGAGCAGCTGAAAAACAAATGCTTTGAAAATGGCTGCCAAGACCCACTTTCTCCTCTCTCCCCCGCCCAAACCTCCTTATTTACCATTATATCCCTCCTCCTCTTCTCTACCTTCAAAACCCGGGTAAACTAAACTCTTTTATGCATACCTACAAATTTCCCTTAGCTAAACTCTCTGAAAATTCTCTCTTTTTTGCAGGTCTTTTAGCATCAGCTGCTGCCTCTCCATAAATCAATCTAGAAATGATCAAACCGCTAGCAGCAGCAGCACCGTCAGCAAGGCCCCGGAGAGCCTCCACGTGGCATTTGCAGCCGGTGGCACTGGAGGACATATCTACCCAGCTGTAGCTATAGCAGATGAGCTCAAACTCGTCAACCCAACCTGCAAAGTCCTCTTCTTAGGCTGCCCCGACAGCATGGAAAGCACAGCTATTCCGTCAGCTCATTTTGAGTTCGAATCTATCCCAGCCGTCCAATTAGCTAGGCCTTTTTCGTCTCCCCGGAACCTCCTCCTCCCTTACCGTCTGATCAAATCCATTATCAAAAGCTACACCCTTTTGTCAAAATTTGAACCTCATATAGTTATTGGAACTGGTGGGTATGTTTCTTTTCCTGTCTGTTTAGCTGCTTTGCTACAAAAGACGAAGCTTGTGATCCAAGAACAGAACTCTGTTCCGGGTATCGCAAATTGGGTTCTTTCTTTCTTTGCTGATTTGGTGTTTGTTGCGTTCAATTCAACGGTTGAGTGTTTCCCAAGAAAAGAAAAGTGTGTTGTCTGTGGGAATCCTGTGAGGTTGTCTTTGAAAGGTTTGGCTTCGAAGGCAGTGTCAAGGTTGCATTTTTTTCCCGAATTGGCGAAAATGGAGGGCTTTTCAGAGGAGGTCAAAGTGATTTTGGTTCTTGGAGGGTCTTTAGGAGCTAATGCTGTTAACATTGCTTTGTTGAATGTGTACTCTCAGTTGCTGTTGGAACATAAGAATTGGTTCATTATATGGCAAACAGGGGTCGAGTCGTTTAATGAAATGGAGAGCTTGGTTAGGAACCATCGGCAGCTGCTTTTGACACCGTAAGTTGCCCTGTGTTTGTGACTGTAGGATTTAACATATTTGTTCCGTATTTGTCTCTTCTTTAGTTATGTCAAATGATTAATATATTTTGTTTGATTAATTTAAGACGTGAGACTAGTATCCCTCTAGTACTGTGTTTTTTTGCGTTGTTTAGAGCAGAAATGATTATACGACTTCATTCTCTTCTGCCTCCTTTGCTGGTTATTTCACAATTTAAACATGTCGTACACTAAAAGGGAAGAATAATGTGTAACGTTTTTGAAGAAATGATGCCTTTACAGCACACAGAAGTTTTGAATTCTTTAGGAACTGCATTTATTGTAACCTTGTTATTGCTAATAATCAAGGAAAATTGGCTACAAGGATGATGTTGAGAAGACAATGAGGAGAAATATCTGCTACTTTATGAGTCACAAAGATATGTAAGTGTGGTAGACACACATACATATCTTCACATTGAAGAGAAGGACAAATACGTAACAGCCTCGGGCTTTTAGTAAATCATGCATTAGATTCCACGTCTGTATATCCAGGTCAAGGTGCATGTTTATTTTATTTGCCCTTGTAAGGTTGTGATGCTTCTCAGTTGATCTTAAGCCTGCTCGGCTGCTGGAATATAACTTTTGATCTGCTATCATTTTTTTCCATGTAATGATAACTTTATATTGTCTTGAAAGTCAACTTGCACATGGCTGTGCTGATGCAGACAATACCTCATTATCCTCTCTATAGGCTCTGCAATATGTTGCCGGAATTGGAAAGAATTAATAAGCTCTTTTTAACATATGATGTCCTCACCAAAAGGCAAATTTCTCTTGTAGAGTGGTTGAACCCATCCAATTTAATTAATTTTTTTATTTAAAAAATGTCAAATGTTGTTGCACACTGTCTATTTACTTATTGGGCTTTTGTTCCTCATTGTTAGTTTGATCCAGATAACAGTTCTATAATTGTATTACTGGCATCCATCATCTCAATTGGCAGTTCTATCCCAGACCCCTGCTTTCAAATACCGGTCATTGTTCTAGAAGTCTGGCTCGAAATGTGATGAGCTTATTGTTGCTAATCTTGTCTGGGTTGTCGTTACTCAATGGCGCTCAGATTTTTAATATAATACTGTGCTCACCGAAGTGCTAATTTTTTAGTTTCCTCAAATCTGATGTATCTCTGAAATTATGAAGGTTCTTGCATTCAATGGAATTGGCATATGCAGCAGCCGACCTCATTGTTTCTCGAGCTGGTGCAATGACTTGTTCTGAGATCTTGGCTACTGGGAAGCCTTCTATATTGGTAGATTGGAGACCATCACCCTTTTTATCTTCTTTTTTCACTTGTTTCTTTAACATCAGTTTCTAATAATGTCAAAACCATGAATGAGCTAACTAGAGCTATTTTACTTATCTAACATGCTCGCTAGGATGGTTTAACTGCTATTTGACATCTCTAGACAGATGATTATCTCTTCAGATAACATATTATACCAAATATTTGGTAGAGGATACTCTTGAACATTTTGCCATCCTCTAATAATATTTGAATGAATGAAAGTTGTAGCAGAATACATGTTGTAGCCTGAAGAATGATTATTACAAATGATAAAAGACTTGGCAAATATTTTCTGCTTCCTGTTGCAGTGATGACTGCTTTAAACATTTATGTGAGGAACGTGAGATGAAGGTAACTTAATAAGAAGATTTATCCTTGTGGAAATTTACTCAACCATGATGCTATAAGATATCTCTGAATTTTGTTACAAGGAAATCAAAGGTCATGGAAACCATGATAATATTATGTAGTAATGATGATCTTATGAGGCACTGATGGTATTTGCAATTATTTTTTCCTGAATAATATTTAAACCAGTACTCTTGTGCATTTAGAATATATGGGATGTTTTGTTTTTCAAGGTTCTGAAATCACAACTTTGAAAAATTTTTCATAATCCAGAAGTTTTAATAAAATTGTTGATGATACACGTCCCTGTATAAGATCCGAATATTTTAACTGGCACTAATTCTTGAGAGTGATTAGATTATGCCCAATACGGAATGTGAGAAAATAAATGGTCAATAAAACTAGCTCTTTGGAGCCACTGCATGTGCCTTGTGTAGACACCGACAAACTGTGCATAATCTATCAATAGATATCATGCATGACGGATGTTGATTTTGGATTAATTTTTTCTAATTGGTAACACATGCAAAGATATCCTGTGTGAGTTCCAAATCAAAATCTCTACTGCATATTTGTGGATTGATGTGTATTAGTTTTGTCCTCTAGCTTGTCCGGTAGTAACATTGCTATTTGTTGGGATCCTTCTAATATAAGCATCAAATCCTCATGTAGGCTGAGGCAATGTTTCACATTACATCGATGTTTTTTTTTTTCTTTTTTGTTGTGACATTGTTCGTTGATTTTGTGCCAAAAGATTGGTTTACAATTAATTAAGCCATTCTGCTTGTGAGCGTAGCCATAATGCTACCTTTTTCCTAGTTTTTATTTGTTTCCTAGTTCTCTACTCCTTATTTGCCTCTTTGATGCTGTAGATACCATCACCAAATGTTGCAGAAGGACATCAATTCAGAAATGCTTCTCTAATGGCAGACGTAGCAGGTTCAAGGGTTATAACTGAGGATGAACTTGATTCAACAACCCTTGGGACTGCTATATCAGAAATATTAGGTATATTACAGCCATTGCTTGTATTTGTGATAAGTATTATGATTTGAAATTGGGAATCTGACAATCAAATGTCATGAGGATGGTAATTTTGATTACTGAATTTTCCTAATTGCCCGATGTTTAGGAGATATTTCATGTCATGTAAGTGTTATGATTGGAACACTCAAAGTCCTTTTTACATATATGTAGATGATCGATTCTTGACATTCTAGAAAGAATTATATGATGGAGGTGCATTAGAAATTAGGAAGTCTAAACATGCAAAGTGTTGTACTTTTGACTAAAATTTCTATTCTAGGTGACAAATTTTGGTACCTTAATATACTCAGATTGTGGCTTCAATCAGGCAGAATGGAGAAAATGGATTCACATAACTAACCCCAGAGAAGTCTGGGATTGAAAGTTTGTTTAGTTGAGTAGAGTTAACTAATTAAAGCTAGTGTTTTTCACATTTGATTGAACAAAAAAAAAAAGTATAAAGCTAAAGCATTGTGGACTATCAATTGTTTGAAAATAACTAGAATTTTTCTGTGTAAAGTTCCTCAGGAAATCTTCTGCTGTTATTCATCAATGAGATGGATCTACGGTGAAATCTTTTGGATTCCACAACATTACATCTGTTTCAGAAGATTAGTTAGCTTAAAATGAATAGTTTGCAAGGAGAAATTAAATAGTAGAAGAGAAGAGTGAGTAGCTCAAGTGATGAATTCTATTTGGCAGGCCATTGTACTGTCCTGCCATTTCCACTATCTAAGTTGAAAACGTTTAAAGACATTAATTCTCTTGAAGCACTTATATCCTTTACTTCTCTATATTATGTAGTAGTTTTTGTTTACTTGGTTACGCTAAACCCTTTTCATTTAACTGATAAAATTTGTGATACTGAGCTGGTCCTTTTATACAGTCACAAGATCAGTTATATTGGTTATGAATGGCATCACGCCTGTTTGTCAGTACATGCAATAAAAAGTCATAAACTTGTTGCATGCATTTTATATCATCACGGTGATTTTGTCTTTTTATTACAGAAGAGTCAATACATAATACACCCTGTTTTGCCCTTAAAAAAGCACCTGCTTGAATTTTTTTTTTTTATCTTCTATTTCATGTCTGGCCATTGTGACAGGGGATGAGAACCTGCTGGCAGAGATGTCTGAGAGGGCTCTTAGAGCTGCAAAGCTCGATGCTTCTGCAGAGATTGCAAAGCGCATCCTTTCGCTAGTTAACTTATCAGCAGTGGAGAAACAGTAATGAAGTTGATGACTAATAATTTTTCCTGCTCAAGAACCCATGTTCGTTGTTCTTGTGGGACAATTGTTTTTGTTCATGGATATCAATCAATATTTTTCTCAAATAGCTTAATTGTAATATAAAACCAAGTCCACAGAATTCTGCAGGAGTGTTTTGTGAGGATCATAGGATTACTCTCTCTTTTAAGCCTTACCCCATGTATGAGTTGTCCTTATGGTGGATTTCCGCTCATCATTAGTAGTTAGATCAGGAAGAAAGAACTGACTGGATAGCTAGAATTTATAGTTGAACACAATTTTGTTTTGATTCTTTGCTACAATGTGAAAAGAGATGTTAAGAGAGCTAAAACTCGAACAGATTTGAGTCCCAACCACTCCAACTATTTAACCAAGGGCAAGTGGTTTGACTCCACCAGGGTTGTTACCTCATTTCTTTGTATGCAAATAAAATGAGATTCTGTTTGATATCTGTGATTTGGCTACTCTTACCTACGTTGATTTTATACTGGGGAACATTGACAACTTACTTCATATAGTTGTGTTTATGAATGAATTTTCATCTAAATCCTGTTGCCTGAAAATGGTGAAGGGGGTCACACATGGCATTTAGGCCTGTGCTAAATGCCTACATAGCAAAGGATTCATGGGCATTGAGCATTTGACACTGCACCCACAAAAACAAACTGATATAACTTTTAGCCGTTAATTATATATTATAAAATCTTTTACTATGCTCCATCAATGTGATATAAATTATATTTATTTGAAAATTATCCTACATAATGAGCATGACTAGATTATTAAATCTAGCAAATAGTTTAGTAAAACAATAATTGAACAGAAAGTTGGAAAAATATAAAATAACCTGATTGTAATTTGATCCTTTCTTTATAAAATATAACATTAAAATCTAGACAGGGAAGCTGGCTGGTAAGCAGCAGCATATGGTTTTAACATGAATGATTGGCATTGGAGCCAGGAAGCAGATTCAGATGGTGCTAAATTGGACTGAAGAGAATTCAGAAGGAAAATGATAGTACGTATGAGGCTAACTCAGTCGGCCCAAGCAACTGTCATTTTCAAGATTAAAATGGCCGTTCTGAGCAAGCAAAGGGTCAACCGTCTCTTTTATGAACCATAAACGAAGCTGAGGCTTATACGTATTTACCTAACCAAGTAGAAAAAAAATCCATGAAAGCCTTGGCCTCCACCAAGATATCAGTCAATGAATACATGCGTGACTTGCAAGAGAAGAAGTGTTTACATCTGTCAACTGAAAATCCCACAAAATTGCCTAAACAAAAATGAAGGAAAGGAAAATTTCTTGTATTTGCCAAAAACAAAAGCAACTGACAGGAAAGTTTTCTCTTTAAGTTGTTGGCAGATGGGATAAATCATTTCTTGATGGATATTTGTATTAGATAAGTTCGAGAACAGCAAAGCAACCGGTTTGACTTTAAATTGTCACATGCAAAGTGGAACCGCCATAAATAGCCGTAGTAGCCACTTTTCCCGCAAACATTCGAAAAGAAAGAGAGAATCAAAAGAAGAATTCAATAAAACAAACAGAAAATGGTACTTGCGCAATTCCAGTCGGACTTTCGCGTCGCTGCCACTTTCTTTTCCTTTAATCCTTCTCGCTCCGACCCGACACCCCGATTTCCATTTTCATTTCGTCGCCTGACCAGGATTCGAGGATGGTCGCCTGTGACGAAAGCTGCATTCAAGAGAAATGTAGAGAAAACGAATGAAAAGAAGGGGCCAAATATCTGTACAGCTGACGAGCTTCACTACGTGGAAGTAGAGAAATCGGAATGGAGGGTGGCTCTGTGGCGGTACCTTCCTTCTCCGGAGGCGCCGTCGAGGAATCATCCGTTGATGCTTTTGTCAGGCGTTGGGACCAATGCTATTGGTTATGATCTCTCCCCTGAGGTTAGCTTTCTTTCTCTTCGCGTTCTTCTGAATTGCATGCAACTGCTTTAGAAGATCACAAGATGCCTTCTTTTTTGGGATTACGATTCCTAAAGCTTCTTCCTTCTATGGGTTTGTTCTTGTTTCTCTCATTGGATTGTAGGCAATTAAGCTTCTCGCTTTTTCGGGTTTTTTTTTTTTCCTGGATTATAATTTGTAAGCTTCCACCTTTTCTGGGTTTTTAATTGTTTGTGTCATTGGATTTTTATTTTTAAACTTCTACCTTTGTGTGTTAATACTTGTTTCGGCGATAATTTGTTATTTATAGGATTCTACCCTTTAAGGGTTTGTTCTTGTTTCTGTCATCGGATTACAGTTTTTGAGCATCTAGCTTTTGTGAATGTTTGATTCTGGCTGTCTTTGGATTGTAATTTCGTGGCTTCTACCTTTTATGGGTTTGTTCTTATGACTAATTTTTAAGCTTCTAGTCCTTCTCGGTATTCATCCATTCTGTCATTGCATTGCGAATTGTAGCTTATGACTTTTTGGGTTTATGCTTGTTTTTTATGCTGTAGTTTCTTCCATTAGACTGTAGTTTCTAGGCGTTTAGCTTTCCTGGGTTCTCGTTTTTGAGTCTATTGATGATGTATATTACGGTTCAGTCCTCGTTTGCACGCTTCATGTCTGGACAAGGATATGATACGTGGATTCTCGAACTCAGAGGTGCTGGCTTGAGTGCGCAAGGAGTAGACTTTGGACAAGTGAAAGACCCTTTCAATGCTATGTCTCAGAGGAAAGATTTTTATGTGAAGGATGGAAAATATGGTACTCTTGCTAACACAGCTTATAAGAGTTTTTCAATGAAAAGAAGCTTTTCAGGTTTTTCAGAAACAGAAAAAAGCTTTGCTTTTACTGATCAAATTAGTGATTTTATCCAAAAGCTTGTAAATATAATTGAAGCAGGTCAAAGATCACCTGCAGCACGGATTTTCTATATGCAAGATCGTGTTTCTACAGCACTAAAAGATGTGCAGAAACAACTTGATCTGATTGTGAAGTATGATTGGGACTTTGATCACTACCTGGAAGAAGATGTCCCTGCTGCGGTGAGGTGCCATTCCTTTAGTATAAAAGTCTTTCATCTAAGAAGTTCTGTAGTATTATCCCCCTATAATCTTACATATACACCAGTTGGCAACTAATAGCAACTAACTTAAGTATTATTGTAATAAAATTTTCTTCTTAGATGCAATACATAAAGACTAGGAGCAAACCAAAGGATGGCAAGTTGCTTGCAGTTGGTCATTCAATGGGGGGTATCTTGCTATATGCAATGCTATCACGATGTTGTAAGATTCTGTACCAAACTTGCATGTGTCATCTACCTTTATGACCCATGTTTGCAGAAAGCTATTAATTCATAGACAATTTCGTTGGCAACTACCTTTTCTATTGAAAAATAGTTTACTGTTGATATTTGTTTCAATTTTTAATATTCAACTTGCTTATTTAATTTCTCTATTTCTTTGTGATTAGAATTTGTTTAGTAAATTTGAAGCTGTAATCTCCTACTGGATCTCGATTTCACTTCCTAAGATCAATTTGAATTTCATTTTCTTGGGAGCAAAGCACCAGCTGAATTAGACTTGTGAGAGGTTTTATATTGACTTCTTAGACAAGTTAACATTTTAACACTGAATTTATTTTTAGATAAAAGAATGGCAAACTTTGTGCACAACTTATGTTGATCTAGTTACTGGCAATATTGGTTAAACTCATAGAAAAGCTCTTGGCTTGTTCAATATAGATCTGATGCTTGAATTTGTTGATTTTGCCTCGGTGAGGCTCATGTAAGATTCAAACTGTTGGAGTTTTAGTTAAAGGGGATGGCTAAAGCATGTCAACCATGATAGAGATGAAATCTTTTGATGAACTGTAGTCCTTTATGGGGAGAGTCAATTTCTTAGAGGCAGTGTGTAGAGGGCTTATAGATGCTGTAGGCTTGTTAGATATAGATGTTCTGGTTCCTTGTCATCTTTGTGAAGAACTCCTTTACCTGGCTTACTTAGATCTATGCAAATGATTACCATCAATCATGTCTCAGACTTGTAATTAATTTCTATTAGCATTTATTTAGTGTCTTAATGAATGGTTCCTTCTTTATTCTCCTGCAAAATAATTGTGACACTTTAAAAAGGAACAAACGAAATTGATTCTGTGTAGGGCTACAAAATGCTGATTTTATTTGTAATACTCGTTCAATCCCCTTCTTCTCTCATTAAGGTTTGGTGCTTTAATGAATATGCTTGATTTTTCTTTTAATTTCTCTTCAGTTCAGGGGGTAGTTTGGTGTTAGGCTTGCAGGATAATGGATTGTAGACATTTATAAGCAATATCAAAATAAATTGCTTACACAGTCACAATTTCAAAATCATGCAATGTCGCTACTCAATTCTGATTATATTGTGAAGCATTTTTTTATAGTAGCAGTTAGATCTGGGTGCTTTTCATTTTGCTTTGACATACATTGTTCCTTGAACAATAAATATTGGAGTGCTAAAATGTGTTATTTTCATAAGGTTTTGAAGGGAGGGATTCTGGATTGGCATCAGTCACTACTTTGGCATCTTCCTTGGATTATATGTCTTCTAAATCATCACTCAAACTGCTTTTACCCCTGGCAAGTGTTGCTAAAGCGAATTGCTTACAAGCTTTTCCTTGTTTCACTGTGATGACTTGATATATACAGATAATGACAATAAATTGATGTTATTTCCCTGTGGTGAGCAGGCAGACCCTGCACAGGTCCTCAATATTCCTGTCATTCCAATTGGGCCATTGATTGCTGCAGCCTATCCTTTTGCAACTCGTCCTCCCTACATCCTGTCCTGGTTGAATCCTCAAATTTCTGCCTCAGACATGATGCATCCAAAGTTGTTTGAAAAGCTGGTTATGGAAAACTTTGGTAAGTAAAAGTGCTTCACCTTCTGCTATTCATTATAATGCATAATTGCTTTACCTGCAATTGTAAGAATGACCTCTGCACTGATGCTTTAAGGTGTCGTTTTATATGGATGCTTCAAAATGCTTTAAAAGTACACAACAAAAGAACAAGCGTTTTCCTATTACATCGGGTCTGTTATATGAGTCAAATTGGTGCTACAGTTGGTTTTAGTTGTAATTAGTTATAGAAAGAATCAGAAGGCACAACTTCGCAGCAGATGCATCTGCTGTTATGTTCATGTGTTTGTGGTAGATCCTAGTTCCCTAATTTTTTTCTGATTTCTTAGTTGTTTTTCCCCTTTGACCTTGTGAAGTTGCTCTTTGCTGTCTTTCTTGTTGATGCATACATACTTGATAAATTGCAGAGTGATTTCAAATGGTCTTTCTAATCTCCCTTTGACCCCTGGCACGGTTTAGGCTTTGTCAATGCTTTTGTTGAAGTTATTGTTATATTTTTGGACCATTTTGTGAAGCACAGTGACTGCATAATATGCAGAGACAGTGCCTGCTAAGCTTCTTTTGCAGCTAGCAACAGCCTTTCAGGAGGGTGGATTGCGAGACAGGAGTGGGACTTTCTTCTACAAGGATCATCTTGGTAAAAGCAATGTCCCTATCTTAGCAATTGCTGGAGACCAAGATCTAATCTGTCCACCTGAAGCAGTATATGGTATGATGTCAATTCATACAACCCTCCTACATTGGGTCTAATTTATTGTTTAGCTTTTCTTCTTTTTCTTATTTAGTTTGTAATATCAATGGAGCAGAAACTGTGAAGGTCATTCCTGAGCCATTGGTTACTTACAAAGTTTTTGGCGAACCAGGTGGTCCACATTATGCTCACTATGATATAGTCGGTGGCCGACTGGTATGAAGTTGATAATTTTACTACTCTATAGTTAATGCAACTTAACCAGTGGAATTCATTTCCGATTTAGGTAGAATGATAGCTTCTCCTAAATGTTTACACTTCCTTTGATGCAGGCCACAGATCTGGTGTATCCATGTATAATAGAATTTCTCAACCGTCATGATGAGGCTTGAATTCCTCGCAACTAGTTTTCTTTACCTGCATTTAACTTTCATTAGTTCATCAATTTTCTTTTTCTGGAAAGGGCCTGATACAAAGAATCTTCAAGGGAGTCTTCTCCTTAAAAGTCCGGATCAATTACATACGTAAAAGAGGTATAGGATCAACATCATGTATGTGTATATATTGTTGTATTCGAGTCTGTACATGTGTAAAGACATGTAGACAAAGTAGAATAGTTACATGATATAAACAAAATTTGTACATGGATAACCTTCAGAAATTTTGAACACCCATAAAACATTTGATCTTAAGGTAAATATTTTAGATGTATTTTGTTTTTCTTTTATCCTTTTAATATGGAGAACAAAATTCAAGATTGCTCAGCATGAAGCATGTATCTCATTTAATGAGGTTGTATTTATGCTGTCAAACGAGTTCAGATGAGTTGATTCAACCATAGAATTTGTGAATTAGTCCTAATTTCATAATATTCTCCTTCTTGCTAGTAGATACTTTTTTTTTTTTTTAAGATTAAAGTCATTTTCATTAAAGCTGAGTGAAATCCCCTATATACACAAAAAGGAGGGGACCTAGCTAGGGAAACTTGGTCCAGGTACCCTTCCTGAAGCTTGGCATATAAAAAAGCCAGCTGAAGTTAAAATACTATACAACTACAAAATATTGACATTAGTCAGATTCAAAAAATTACAGTCACTCTCAAACAGTCAGAAAGGGCGAAAGGAGAGCAAGAGTGAGAAATATGACCATTTTGGATGTTTCTCTCTCTTACAAATCCAAACACAAGCAGAACAACTCAATAAAGCTGATAGGCCTTATCATGCATAAAGGATATGCACCCACAACTTAGCAGTAAACTGAATTCAACATAGTCAAAAGCATGCTCAATCACTTTAGCAGTTATGGGTACACACAGAGCAGATTGTGGGCTCTATCAATCCCTGATTTGGCAAGGTTATCAGCGACCACATTACCTGATCTTGGTGTGTGTTTTATCTTCCAGCCAGCAACTCTGTTTTTAAGGGAAACAGTTTGAAGGATGAGTTGTCGTAACTTCCATGGGGTTTTCTCAGCGTGTGTCCTCCATAAGACCACATTCTTGAAGTCAGATTTAATGATAATACCAGCAGAGTTCATCCATGAGGAGGCAGTAAACAGAACCAGAACCTCTCTCAGTGCAAGGATTTCGGCAAGATTAGCATCTCTCCAACCTGCTTTCTTCGAAAAGGTCATCTTCACAGCCCCTTTGTTATCTCTTAAAACTCCTCCAATACCAAGATGGCCTGGACATCCTCTAGCAGCCCCATCGGTATTAAATTTGAACCAACCTACTGGTGGACATTCCCAAGAGACCATGCTCTTAACCTTTTCTTTGAGGTAAGAGTGGAAGCCAAAAAAGGGAGTAGTAGCAATATCAGCAACGACGTTGTCGAAAGGCCATTTAGACTTTGACCCACCATGCCACTCTCAACTTAATAATATTCAGCATTTTCATCGAATCCTACATTTTTCCATCAAAGATCATTTCACTTGCTAGTAGATACTTACTTATTTGATTTTTACATTATCGGATGATTTGCTATGCCTTATCATAAATTTTACAATATTCCATTCACACGAGTCCTGCATCTATAATGTCTAAAATGCATTCATGTATTGACATAATATTTTAAATTTTTTTTAATTATTTAAGAAAATTTAAATAAATTTTTATTTATCCGCTTAACAAGTTTTTGTATTTTTATTTGGATCAAATAAACTTTTATGAATGATGGTGGACATAATTATCGTTACATAAAATATTATTTATCATTTTTTATATCACGTGATAAAATATCACGTGACAATGTTATTAAATTATCATTAATTATGATACATAAGTACATCATATGACATAAAATGATAAATGACATTTTAATTAACAATAGTTGATTTTATAGATCTATTTGATTCAAATAAAAATATAAAATCTCAATTAAATGTAATAAAAAAACAAAAAATTATTTAAATTTTTTTTGAATAGTTGGAAAATTGCTTTAGAGATTATGCTTTGTAATGACTAGGAGTGGGCAACGGTCGGTTGGAACCGTCCAACCGACCGCAACCGTCGGTTGTGCCGATCAGCCTCGTCGGCTGATCGGCTCGGTCGTCGGAGGGAATCCTTTCCCTTCGAACCGATCGAAAAAACCGAGCCCCCCCGACACCCCAGCTACCCCCGCCGGCTACCCCGGCTACCCATGGCCCGCCCCCTATTATTTCCCCCCGACTCGATCCTGAATTGTTGTGTTGATCCCCCGACGGACCCGACTTGATCCCCCGGCCCCCTTCCCACTCCTACCGATTCCCCCGACCCCCTTCCCACGAGTCCCCGGCCCCCTCCCACTCCTACCGATTCCCCCGACCCCCTTCCCACGAGTCTCGAATCCCGATTCCCCCCTGCCCCCCTCCCACGAGTCCTAATTCCTGATTCCCCCTCGTGCCCCCCCACCCCCCCCTCAAGTCCAGATTCCCTAATTCCCTCCCCCTCGACCGAAACTAACGGAAATCGACTTCTAAAACAAACCGACCGAAACCGACTTTATATCATTGCAGTTCGATCGGTTATATCTCAAAAATTTTTGATCGATTTTGTGTCGAAACCGACCCGAAACCGACCCATGCACATCCCTAGTAATGACAATATAAGCCAGGGCGAAGGCGAAGAACTTGAGTTTTGCTTCAATAATCCTTGCAATTATACAATGCACCCAAGTTTCTAATTATCAATTAAATAAGCTGTTTATCTTTCTTCAAATAATCCTTCACCAAGCAAAAGTATAGAAGATGCCTGTCACTGTGCAGACGCAGTCTTTGACTAAGGCAGGATAGGCGGCTTGGGGAGAATCGCAATCTGTATGCTTGGAATGCATAGCACAACCCACAAGTATATACTTGACAAGTTGATTATCATTGATACATTTCTTTGGGAATGAACTTACTATATCAGAACACAGCACTTACCAAAATCAAAGTAGCATTTATATCAAAGTATAGCAACACAATCACAAATAATAAATTGATTTTAAGAAGAGAGCAACAATTCCCGCAACCCCATTGACTTGATTCTGCCAAATAACAGCAATCCCCCTTCATTTTCTGAAGCAAACACAAGTTGAACCCTCTGAGGCTTCTTCACACATTTCCAAAGGAAAAACCCATAAAAATAAAAAATTGAATCCTTGCTTTTTTGTATTTGGAGCAAAATCTATACACAGACAAAGAGGGTTAAATTGAATCCATGACTGCTAGCATCGAGCTGCTGCCTCAGTCTTACAGACAGGGCAAGTATTTTTCTGCACAAGCCACTGCTTTATACATTGAATGTGAAAGCTATGTCCACAATATAGCTTCCCCATCTCTTCATCTGCTTCATACTCCTCCTATATTCAAAGGATACTAATGAGAATCACGATTGAAAGGGAATGGGAGTAACAAGAAGACAATTTCATCAAAAACTCACCTGACAGATGCTGCACTTCTTATCCACATGCATGTGTAAGTTTGGTGGCAATTCATTCATGATTGAGCCCTTAATTTTTCTGAGGCATCTGCTTATCTCATCTTCTTTCAACCCAGTGTTAACGTAACCGATTTTATCACCAAGCTCCAGCAATTGCTGTTTCACAACAGTTTGAACAAGGATTGTTAGTTTTAGACTGAACCAAGAGTTGAATAAGAATCTATTGAACCAAATAACCAAGCTTTATTTATTTATTTATTTGAAGTAAGCATACAACTTAAAGAGGATAAAGACAAAATACCTCATAAGACATGCTGTCAATATCAAGCCTCCAGTCACTGAATCGATCATGTGAATCTAATCTTCCCCCCATTAGCAAGTTGTTCTGTAGCATCATTATCTGCACCAGCCGCCACCAAAAATTTGGGAATGCAAATTAAAAATAGATCCTGCCTGAGCTTAATCATGCATAATATGAAGCTTTTCCTCAAGTTTGTTGAGTACATGCAAGAGATGATATCCCATAAATTCCAAATGAACATTCAGGGTTTTTTGAATGCTCTCAAACCAAGAGACCGTAGTAACCTTAATCCATAATTCATAGCATCATGTAATCAGAATTTCTGGTTCACCAATACTCACATGCTGAACCACTTTTTTTTTTTTTTGCTTATGAGATATTAAAATGTCAATACATAAAAATCTCTCTTCTTTAGAGGTGTATTTGCATTCATTTGTAGTTGCCCTACATAACATCATACTCCATTTATGGAAAACGTATACCTTGTACTGTGTATTTCTACAGAGTACAATCTCTGAATTTTTTTAATACATAAATTTCAGCCAAGCATCTTAAATTCCATAGGAACAACTGGCTCTGAATAATTAATAAGTTGCTATTACTACACCACAGATATAATAATAGCTTCAAAAATGATTGCCTGGTTTACCCCCAATTTGTTTCATGTGACTTTAAAATGACATTACAACAACCTTGATTCCAATCAAGTCACTTTTGTGTGAATTCACTCTTGAGCTTATTTCACACAATACACGATCAAATGAATGTTGTCATACTTCTGATATTATTTGATGTTTCTTTTACAATCAACTTCTCGAAAATGAAATTCATATTCACAGGCAAAACTTAAATCATGTACAGAAAGTAATAGTCAACTGAGTTTAAGTTTCAAAAGAAAAGTTTTGATTAAAATATCCAATAAAGCAAGTCATACGCCAACTCTCCTCCCTTGAAGATAAGCCAAAATTTCAGTTATTGCATCAGGGATCACCACTAAAAATGACCAAACAAATTGTTCTGTTTTAAGTGTCAATGGGTCATGTATGAATGGTCAACATTACTACCAGAAAAAAGCCTTAACCATCCCATTTTCATTTCTTTCCAAAGAGCAATAAACTTTAAAAAAAGAAAAATGGAAACTGAGTTTAACCGGTCACATGATGACCATATTTTCCCCCTAAGACAACAAAAAAGCTAAACTCATAAAGAAATAAGGAAAAGAAATATATGTTTAAATTTCTTGAAAAGAAGAGAATCTCAAACAATCAGAATTACAAGGAGCTAAAAGCATTTTCTATGAAGACCATGAGGAATCGGTTGAAAACAGTGTTCATTTTGCTAGTGAGAATCCTTGTATATTATATTGTTGCAGAATGAAAAGCTGTGCACTTTACATGCCAAAATTGAATCTTTAAAAACCCATAATCAGAAACACTTTTCCATATATCCAATGTTTGATTCCAGAAATTATCTTGAAATTTGTATAAAAGCCCACAAAATTATAGACATACCTCAGCAAGCCCCTCTGGAGAAGGATGTCGAACATGGCGATAGTATCTTGCTCCAAAGAAATCGGGTTCAGGACGCGCTGAGATTAAGGCAGAATCAGAATCAAGAAATGAGAAGGTTTCAGGATTTACAGTCTGCCTTGCTATACAAGAACGCTGCCAAGATAAATGAAGCAGGAGAATCAGCCAACATAGAAAACAAGTTATGTTACAAGTACTATTATAGTGGAACAATGATCAGGCTTGTGGGGAGAGAAAACTGAATCAGTTAAACAAACTTTTGCTCTTAAAGGAAACTGTTACGAGAAGAAACTTCACTTATAGAAAGGAAAGAAGAGAATCCTCATATATTCAAACACTCAATTTCTTATCAAAAGCTCCGTATAAGTATCCTACTTTGATGGGGTCCATGATAGGCCTTATATTCAAAGATATTGCCTTTCGTCAGAAACCAAGCTAAATTATACGTGCACGGTTTTTTTGTTAATTAATAAAAGAATTGAAGGGACAAAGCTGCTTAACACACTAAACACCAATGAAAAACTATATTAGAGAAAGATATGAATAAGATAAGGGTATCGAATCAAAAAACGACATGCAATCAAACAGATTCTAACCCAAAAGCACCCAAACAATAGCAAGGGCATTAAGTCAATCAAGCAGAGTGCATGACAAAGGTATTCTGCATAAAACATACTCATAAAATTTACATGGTTTTACCATTGAGCTGAGTACAGCAGGAAGATATTCTCTATCAAAACAAGGGAATTATAGTAGAAGTCTATTAGGACTGATACATAATCTTTTCTATAACACTCTTAATTTCAAGAAATACATTAAAAACTTCAAATAAAAATAAATTTATGGGGCTGGTCAATGACAAGGCCGATGGTTCATCATTGGAGTTGAGAGAAAGTCAGAAACCAACTTCACTGCACTTGATCTTAGCCAAAGGGTCAAGAAAGGTATATAAAAGAATCAACTTCAGAAACAGAGGCTGTCAGGTTTCTTAAAGAACTTCTATTGACCCTTTTTTATGCCAGGAAAAAAAACAAGGAAATGAGATTACCCTAAGGGAAAAATTTTGGCACGGATCAATTAGCCATTTCGTAGTTAAATTATCGATGACCAAAAGGCCTTAATTATCAAAAGCGAAATGAAAAGTCATAATCAAATGCATTCGCTTGCTGTAAAATGAATGCATCCACAAAAGAAAACCAAACAGACTAAGTACCAAAAAGAGGAAAAGAAGAAACAAAAAAAATGCCAAGCCTGGTGCCAAATCCAGATCAAAGCACAAAACTGGCCCAGATTAACATAAAAAAGATAAGAAAAACATGAAAAAGTACGACACTCAAATCCAAATTGTACCAAAGCAAAGAAATTTACAATCCCCACCTCCCAGAACTCATAGAACTTATCCAATGACATGGGATTTAAACCCCAAAAGGCATAAATATATAACATAAAAGGACAAAAGGAAACAAAAATATACCTCCCTATGGTTGACCTTTTCGAT